ATAGGGATAATATTAATTGATAAGCTTATTATTTAACAAGCTAACTCATCTAATTAAAACTCAAAAATAACATGTTTCTCTCTCCTTCTTTCTCTCTCTCTCGCTTTCTCTCCCCTATTCTAATAAGTTACGAGTCAACAAAGGGACTATTAACCAACGTCAAACTTGGTCCAAAATATCCGATGTTTCAATTATTAGAATTCCCATTTTAGATAAAATGGGAAATTGTTTCCTAATTTCTATTAATATCATATCATTAGGACTATTAAAGAACCAATTTATGTTTTCATAACTATTTCTAAATGAATTAAGAAGCCTTTAACCTAAGAGGTGGCCATGTTTCCCTCTCCCTATCTCCTTCTTTCTATATTATCTCTCCCTTACTCCTCTCCCTCTCCTAGTCCATCGAAAGACTCTCCCTCTTAAGGACTTATATTACAAAAAGCTTGATAAATTATAGCCTATTAGCCTTTAAGTACTTTTGTCGTACCTCTCCTCCCTACTAAATCTTTATATATTATACCTAATCAAAGGTAACATGCTTGTCACATAACCTTTTTCAGCCTCAAATCTTAAAGGAAAGATAATTCTACAAGCTTAATATAGCATCATCAATTAAAAAAACTAATTGAGATAAAGATTATCATGTGAATATCGGTTGTAAGGTAAAGAGAGGGAATCTAAACAATTACATACACTTTTTATATAAAAGTCCTTTGGTCTAAAAGGTAGCCTGTATTAATAAATATAGTCGTAATAACTATCCTAATTGACATATCAATAATAATATAAACCTTGATTATGTGTATATCCGAAGGGGTAGAAAATAATAGCCAAAAATAATATCTCCCTCTACCTAAACTATAGCTTGTAGGGAACTTTTTACCACCATTGTTCCTTATTAACCATCAAAGTTTATTATTAATAATTGGAGGCTAAAAAACTCCCCGTCCCTCTTTACCTCTCTCATTATTAATTATTGTTCTTATTTCTATTAAGAGGGCTCTCGACTGATGGTTATAATCGGAGACATGTAAAGGCTCTTACAAGGTGATATTGGTTAATCTCTCGTCATCTACTATTGTAAATCCCCAATAAGGAGAGAGGGGATTATTAGGCTGGGAATGGTCATAAGTTTATGGATTTAAACCTTCTAATGGACCATATAGGAATGATGGGTCACTCAACATAAGTTCTTATCATAATTCAATAAGATTAGGAGATAGAGGTAGACCTACAAGCAGAAATGAATGAATGAGGTTGTTTTATTCATGGTTGTATAATGGTATTATCATTTAAATAAGTTATTTAAAAGGAAATGAATTATGATAAGAACTATATTCGTAGTCATTACTAAGGGAGATGGGCTTATAATAACATCAAATAACCGAGGGAGAGGGACACACAAGAGAGATCCCTTAGAGCTTAGCAAGGCTTGGAATCAACTATGTCTCACATCTTTTGATAATTATCCCAAATAAACCTCTTACTACTATTATATGTTAAGACCTGCTCCTAGATAAATAGGTTTTGTCCTACCATCTATGGGACATGGCTGGTTGGCTTTAGTGCAAACATTCATTCCACTAGGTAGGCAAATGAAAAGGATGTATGCCTAAGTGAAACTAAATAATAGATCGATAAACAAGGTCCCATATTACTATTAAAGGATAGAGTGAGCACTAAATAATCCTATAAATTATTGTTAAATGTTTAGTATTTGTATATAATCTAATTAATGAGCATAATATTTCGTGCTTACTAATGATCATCTAGTATTCACTAAGGCTATAATGGTTATACAAATTAATATTTGGTAAAATTTCCCTTTTGTAATGGAAGCTCCTTACAAAAATAATTGTAACCCCCTATCCTTATAGGGGATCAAGTTGACAATAATTTATCTAGCTATTATTTGGATAGCTTCTATTGAAGCGAAGATGACTAAGTGAATTATAATCATTTATTAATAACCTTTGTAAATAATAATTATATACAAACAAGGAAATTTTTCCTACCGTGACCTTACTATTGGTTGAACTCGAGGTTTCTTAATTCATTATTGAAGGCTAGTGTTTAGGCTTCTTTCTCTTGACCTCTCTCTATCAAAAGTTTATAGGGCTCCAAATACCCTTATAATAGGAAAACCTTTTCATGTAGTTGATATCACGGAAAGACAATCTAGCCTTCAATAATATTGATTATCAATGTCTTTATCTAGGATACTAATTACAATTAGAGGGAGAGGTGTATCTTACTATATGGAGGGTAGTTATAGATGAAACATCCTTGATTATTTGACATATTAATTGGTCAAAGAGGGAGATCACTAAGATTGGTCCATTAGATATTACTCCATTATGATCATATTTAAGTAAGATATAACTCCATAACCATCCCTCCTAAAAGATAATCTTCATATAGTCTTATATTTGAGTGAATTATAAGATATTGACTTATTACGGCCTAAAAATGTATCTTATTATCATATAACCTTTAATGATAGTGCGTTTGGTAACTCAATGGAGGGGATGAAAACATAGATGGCTTTATGATAAAAGGTGATTATAATATGAGAAATTATGTTGAAAATTAATTTAGGTATGTGTCATACGCATAGGGCCCTCTATCTAAATTATCATTGTCCTTACCGATTCCCCTATAAGAGAGGCCCAAGAGGGCCTCATCTAGCTTACATATATATATATATATATTAGGAGGAACATTTTAAAGATTAGGTTTAACTGATAAGTCTCTTAATAGTAGAGACTTAACCTCTCTCAAATAATATCCTACCATATTGGAGATGAAGATAATATTAACCCCTTATCTTTTGCAAGTTATCTCATATTATAGCCAACAATGTTCCTTTCAATCAGTAGGTTAGTATTATCCAAGATCATATTGATTCACTTGGTATTCAAACATGTAATTTATTAATAAATGAATAACAAATATTACGACTATTTAATATACCAATTATAATTAATATGGTTCCATAACATTATAATAGTCGTAACTAGGTCCAAACTAGATAGATTATAAATAATTTAAATAATCAAGTTGAAAATATCTATTGGTAAATACTTGAAAAATTCAATCCTCATATACGAGATACTAATGACTCAACTTTGCCAAGAAGTTAGCTTCAAGGGAAAATATCTATGTGACTACAATGGATCAAGAGTTGGACCATTAGATGTAGGTATTTATGAGCTAGCACTACCATGTAGGAATGTGCTAAGACTCAATTATTATTATTTTAGTAGAGGCTAAAGATCTTATTTCCATTTCTTATTCTAATAGTACCTATTTGAGACTATCATAGTTTGGACCTAGTTAATTGTGAGCTATATTTCAAAATTCAATGACAATAGCTTTGCAATAGGAGAAGACTAATTAGTTAATTTAAAGCAAGTAATTATTATCATTGAATTTTAATTACTTAGATATTTACTCTTTGACTATCTATCATATGAGCTTGCTTCCTCCCTCTCCTATTTGACCTAGGAAGGGTGGGACTATAATAGCTCTAGGGACGAGTGGGGAGAGAAATCATATAGAAAAGAAATATATCAAATTTTCTAAACCTTATTAATTAGGACTTAAGAATAGTTAAATGACCTTCAATGTATTGATTTCATAAGGACTAATATCCTAAAGGCGTTTGCAACATATATTTATCCCGAAGGGAATCAATCTAGTTCTTTATATTTAAAGTTCATCTACAATTGTAAATTTTAACATTCAGAGTGGTACCATCTTAAGAGAGGAGGGGGAGCATTCCTAATAAAATTATACCTACTATTATTCATATACTAATCACGCCGGATATTATAATATTGTATTAACTACCCCATATTACCTACCATACTAGATACCTAATTTATTAGTTAGTATAATATATTTTTGTTGAACGAAAGAGAAGAGATGAGCCCTCAAGGAAGACATAGCTAACCTTTATAATATTATAACATCTTTCTCGAATAATATAATGACACAAGAAAATTAATAAGATAAGGCCTCCTCATATAGATTTAAGCCTCTAATTAGTACCAAAAAGATTTACCAACACATAAGAGGTGCTCTCACATATCTCCCTAAACTCAAGAAATGACTAATATTAAGAACGAAGGAGTAATCGTAGCTCTTCAGCATATAACGGACATATCTCCCTAATCTTAGCTTGATGCCTAGAGAACCCACGAACAAGAAGGAAGAAATCCTAGAAAGCCAAATCAGATTGAAAGGATATGGATGGCACACTCCATACAGGGTAGAAAGGGAGTGATAAGTCACTCGAACGCCAAAAGAATCGAATTAGACTCTTGAAAAGTTCTAAAATTCAACTCTAAAAAGAACTAAGGTGTGAATTTTCTTAAAAAAGTTGATTTGATTCAAAGATTGATTAAAAACAAATTTACATATTGCTTTTACATAAATAGGCTACTAGAAATTCAGAAAGACAAAGTTGATTAAAGTTACATTGGACCTAACAAAGTTTTGAATAAAAGTCCTTGAATTTGGAAGAAAACTCGAATTTTGCATCTAGAATTTTGACCCCAAAGCTTGATTTTGTTGAATTGAAAATAATGGTGACTTTGGCTTGGAAATAGGCTGATTCTATAGTTGTCACTTAACAATCTCGGCCCAAAACATCAAGATAAGAAAGTTCGACCAGATTGGACTTTAAGTCCGACACTTTTGGCCCAATAGTATGGATCAGATTCACAAGGCCCAATTGATGTTCTTCAAGCCTAGTGATGGGGAAATCAACCCATTGATATTGAAAAGGCCCATTTAAGGACACATGAAACCTCTTGGCCCTAGCCCTTGTGATTGGCCCCAAAATGAAATAGCTTATCTTCTTATTGATGATAACATTGAGATTTGAGCAGCCCATGTTCGTATCATTCTCCCACTCTTTAAAAAGATTAGTCCTCAAATCTTACCTTGTAGGTAACCAATGACGATATCAGTTATAAAAAAATTAAAATAACCATCATTTAGATAGCTAATAACCCAATTGATATATTCAAATATTTTGTATCCAATGTCATCAAAGCTAAGCTTTAATGAACTAGACCTTCTACTATACAAATTGTCAACACCAATAAAATCAATTATAAGATCATCACTCTCATCTAACACTTTAATGGCATCAGCATCATGCTTGATTATTCCTTCATTGATAGCCTCGTTGATGCCCTCATCTTTGACTTCAACTCCCTCAAAAAGTGCAGCAACATTAGTGACTTCGTTGTAAAAATTTTTGATGTTTATAGCATTATCAAGGACAACAACTTTTTCAACACTTTTGCTGAACTTCAAAGTGTTTTTTACACCTACAAACTCAACCTCATGAAACTCTTTGTTGCCAACAACAACCTAAAAATTTTTAGATTTCGATTCTTCATTGTGTTGTTGGAATGTTTTAGAAGAAGTTTCAACGACATCAACCTATATGTTGGTACTATGAGCTTTGGAATTTGTAACTTCAATTGCCTCATTTTGTTTCTGGAGTGCCTTTTCTTCACAAAGTTTAATCATTCATGTCATAAATCTAATTTCAATTTGGAGAGCCTCAAACGAATCCTTTGGCATTGGTCGTTCCATATCTCGTATTTCTAGTTGCCATAAATCATGTCGAATTTGCTTTTTGGAATATGATGATAAAAACATGATTTTTTTTAATACCCAATGAAATATGGATTCATATAGTTTAAACAACAAGAATACAAACTGAAATTTTAGACAAACAATGGTTTCGGAATAGGATTGAATTTAAATAATGAGGAGTTCAATCTATAAAGCTAGATTTTTGGATAGAACTGATTGATCACAAGATAATTGAACAAAAGACTCTAGGACTCATTTTTTTTGACATATTTGGTCTTAATGAACTGAATTAATGCACAATAATTTGGACCTTAGAGCTACTAATTTTGAACAAATTTAACAATGAGAACAAGCTAAACGCAATCAATTTAGCACACAAAGACTTTCTTTTTAGTTACTGACTTTAAACCAAATGATACAAATTTGCTACTGCCTTTTTTTCTTTAATGGTATAATATATTACAATCACTCTTTTTGTAACTAGAAAACTTTCTTTAGGACGTTTTCAATGATTTGGAACTAGAAGAGAAAATTTCCAAATTGAAGATCAAACTTAGTTTAACAAGAAAAATAATGATTTTAGACAAACTAGGCAAAATCAAATCAAACTAGCCTTCATTTTTTTATTTTTAAATTTGAAATTGACTCAATTTGGATTAAAACAAAACTACAAAGACATGAAATAGAACAAAAGATACCCACAAAAAGAACTCGATTTAGAACCAAGCTTTGATACCAACTCGATGTGAACTTGTTTAGCTCGATGGCTAGAGAACCCACGAACAAGAAGGAAGATATCCGGGAAAGCCAAATCAGATTGGAAGGATATGGATGCCACACTCCAGAAAGGGTAGAAAGGGAGTGATAAGTCACTCGAACACCACAAGAATCGAATTAGACTCTTGATAAGTTCTAAAATTCAGTTCTAGAAAGAACTAAGGTGTGAATTTTCTTACAAAGATTGATTTGATTCAAAGATTGATTAAGAACAAAATTACATATTGCTTTTACATAAATAAGCTACTGAAATTCAAAAAGACAAGGTTGATTAAAGTTACATTGGATCAAACAAAGCTTTGAATAAGACTCCTTGAATTTGGAAGAAAACTCATTGAATTTAGCATCTAGAATTTTGGCCCCAAAGTTTGATTTTGTTGACTTGAAAATAATGGTAACTTTGGCTTGGAAGTGGGCTGATACTATAGTTGTCACTTAATAATCTCAACCCAAAACATCAAGATAAGAAATTTTGGCCATATTGGACTTTAAGTCTAAAACTTTCGGCCCAATAGCAAGGATTAGATTCACAAGGCCCAATTGATGTTCTTCAAGCCTAGTGATGGAGAAATCAGCCCAATGATATTGAATAAGCCCATTTAAGGACTCATAAAACTTCTTGGCCCTAGCCCTTGTGGTTGGGCCCAAAATGAAACAACCCATCTCCTTGTTGATGATATCATTAAGATTTAAGCAGCCCATGTTCGTATCAACCAATTTTACAAACACAAGAACAGACATGCTTGGACCATCACTAGTTTTAGATTCAGGTCCATCATGGGAAAGTTAACTAATTCAGGTCCAATCTATTATATTTGCACTGAAACTTCTATTATTTTATAGAAGTCATATGCATGAACATAGAGGGGAAAACATACTTTGTTGATATAATATTCACCCCATCACCCAAATTAATCAATCAAGGTGTTTACCATAGATTTAACAATAATTAAGTATTTGACCCATATCTTTTCCACGATAGAATGTTAAAATACTATTTGTGGGAGTGCTAGAATAAGAGGTTTTATCACTATTTGGAATCCTTCATCTTTCCTTTAAGCAACATTATATAGCACTTCATTGATGTCTAACCTTTGTCAACAACTCTATTAAAATTCCTTCATCTTTCCCTCTTTGTATAATGTATTAATGTAACTATAGGAATAACACTTTTCCCCATCTCTCTCTTTTTAACATTGCTAAGAAAGGAGGTCTCATCTCTCATTTGGACTCCTATATATATGACTAAGATAGGTTGTTAATTAAAGTCAAATATGATGAATCTAAATTAGCCGACCATATGGTGAGACAATTTATAGTAATGGAGTGTAAATGATAGATGGTCCCATGAGAGAGGGGTTATGTTAAAGTAAATTACCAAACTTGTATAATATCATTATCAAATCCTTAGTCGAATTTCCATGGATTCAGATTGAAAACTCTCCCCTTTATAATGATGGACTAATATGAACCCGTTTATCTCCCTCTCCTTAAGATTCTCTAGGCGTTTTAATATTTCTTTTGATTACTCATCCTATTTTAACTATCTCCTCCTATGATAGGCATTATTCACACATAGAAAAGTCAAATAATTAACTTTTCCAAGTATATATCTATTACTTTCAAGTTGGCATGTACTAATTTATATAGCAGAACAACATAATTAAATTTATTAGGGAGGGAAAGAGGGGCCTATGCGCAATAAATGGGTTAAATCAGGTATAAGTTAGCACACACATGGGGAACAATATAGGCCTATCCACTAAAATATAATTCTTATTATAGAATATGGATATTTATAGACGTGAGGCAATACTATATAGTACTATCGACCTTAAGTGGTTCTTTTAAAAGAATACCAATTTCAATCATAATATTCATGAACGATATTAGTTAATAATATGCTTAAGCATAAAATACCTTTCCCTTAGGTTATGTGATTACCCACCTAGAATTTCTAACTAAGATAGATTGCCTAATTTCTCTCCTTCCCTCCTCTCCCTCTCTTTATTTATTAGCTAGTCATGTACAATCTATCTCTCTCCCATCTCTATTTTATAGCCAATTGTGTCAATCATAGATAAGGTATAATGCAATTTTCATCATTGCCCATCTCTTAAAACATCACCTCTAATCATTTTCCCATTTATAGAGGGAGAGGAGGGAGACCATTTATCGATGATAGATTGGCCTTCTCTCTCCAAGCAAAGTGAGATGAGAAGCCCCTTATCCCTATAAAATTGCAATACCATAAGGCTATAATCATATAATTATATAACTTTGAGTCTATATGATAGTTTAAACTTGCTTAAACAGGTTACTATTACCAAGTAGGTTACTCTATTTTAAAAAGTAGATGACCAAGAGAAATGAATTAGTTTATTCATTTCTCTCTCTCCCTCTCTCTTTGCCTCCCTCTCTCCTCCTCCCTCTCCCTCTATCCCTATCCCACTCTCCCTCTCTCCCTCTCTCTCTTCATTTGAATACCCATATATCCAACGCTCTTCATAAAGACTATTGATGGAGTGCCATTATATTAGGAGTGCAACTTTATATAAACCGAAGTTCATAGAGGGAAAGAAGGGGAATTATTTAGCAATTAGAGTGGAGAGGGATAATTATGGCCCAACATTTTCCCTCTCTATTAGAGTATATCAATTATGGTGAATTACCATTGTCACTAATGACAATGAGGGTCATCCTATAATGTCACTCGAAGTGGCTCACTAGCATTGATTCTCTTAAGAAAGAATTACAATCTGTCTTCACACAACCAGATTTGTTATCACGGGTCCATCAAATTGTTGACCAACATCAATTCCTTGTAGGGAGTTGTATATTAAGATTATCTAATTCTGCATTATAATATCATACAAGGGATAATAGGTTGGAAAATATCCTCGGTGATATATATAAGGGAAGAGCTACATTGTTTATACATTATTGTTATCCCTATAATAGAACGGAGAAATGGTCCAACTCGTATTATTGCAAGATCATCAATCTATAGCTGAGGATAATAATATTTATATTTAGTCATCCTAGTAATTCTCCCGATATGACCTTTTAGAGGAAGAAAATATTATATAGAATTATAATTGTTACCTATGCTTGGTATATTGAGTGTGAACCATTTCTATTAACCGAGTGGGAGGAAAATGGCTTTTACCAATTCTTAATTTACTAAATGGATATTAAGTAGCCGGAAAGTCATAAATCATAAAGCTAGATGTAGTATTATACTATTCTACTAAAGAATACAGGGAGAGAGAGGGAGGGATAATTCTATATTATTGTCAATATTATGCTCCACTGCAATGAAGTGATTGGGGGATAATGAATAACTAGATAGTGCATGACACAAGAAAATCATATAGAGTTTGAAGTTGACCAAGAATCAAGTTTATAATTAAAGAGTAAATAGAGGCCAATGAATGTACATCCTTATATGAACTAAGGCCTCCCTTCTCAATGAACACCATAGATAATCTCCCTCTCTCCCTCTCTCATAATGAATTAATCCCCCATCTTATTGGGTAAGATGATTAATGGGGGAGATAATAGCTTATTTACCATTATCAAGAAAGCTAATTATTAAGCAATCTAATATTGGCCAACTTATTATGATAATAGTTAAAAAGGTAGATCACTCGATAGTAGGTAATATGAGGGGAACCATGGAGTTAAATGATGCAAACTTCGTGATAATAGAATATTCTACCCAAGAAATGCATTCTTGGGGTACTCTATTTGATCTATTTATACTTTGTGTTTTCATAATTAAGGTATATTCCATAGAGGTAAGGGCTCCTACAAGCTTACAGTAGGATAGCCCAAATTTTGTATTATTCTATGATCCCATTAATTTGGGCAATTAAAAGCCCATGAAGTCCCCCTAGTTAATAGAAAAATGCAGTAATAATTTGTAAGGACCCATAATCTCCTTTATTCATCCAAATGACTAAAATAGTAATCAACCAAGTCTATTTAGA